CAAGGGATGATGTGAGTTATTAAGATATTGGCTGCTGTAGCTGCAGTTTCATTCTTTGTGGGGAAGGCTTCCAGCCACCCAGTTAGGGTGTCTATAAGTGTAAAAAGGTATTTGAAAGACTTGTGAGATGACATATGAGTGAAATTGATTTGCCAGTCCTGACCAGGTAGATGTCCTCTCATCTGATGAGTGGGGAAGGTTGGTTTACAGTTTCCCTGGGGACTTGTGGATACACAAACAGTACAGGTAGAATGGACAGATTCAATAGAGGTGTTGAGTAAGGGCAACATGAAAAGAGGTTGTAGGAAATGTTTCAGGGCTTTGGTTCCTATGTGGAGGGAATTATGAAGCATGCGGGCAAGGGGCTCTACTTGGGAGTCAGGAAGAATGAGTCTGTTATGAAGGAAGAACCATCCTTCTGGGGAGCGATTCCTTCCTTTTGTTTCCCAGTGTGACAATTCCTCAGGGGGTTACTGCAGATGGATGGAGGGGAGTGAGAGGCATAGGATGGGGGTTGGTGGGTTCGGAGAGTCCCTGGTGAGGTTCCGGGCTGTGGAATCTGCCTTGTTGTTACCTTGGGTGACCAAAGAACTGTCAGTTTGATGTCCTTTACAATGTATAATGGCTACTTTGAATGGTAGTTGGAGGGCATTTAGGAGTTGGAGAATGAGCTTGGTGTTAATTATGGGGGAAACTTTGGCTGTTAGAAACCCTCGTTGTTCCCATACTGGGCTGTGACAGTGTGCTAAAAGGAATGCGTACTTGAAGTCCATGTAAATATTAGCTGCCCATCCCTTTGCTAATTGTAAGGCCTTCGTGAGGGTGACTAGCTGGCTTTCTGAGATGAGGTGCCTTCAGGGAGGGTGTGGGCTTCTACAACGTCAGTCAGGGTGACAACGGCATATGCTGCCCTACGTCATCCATGGGAGTCTATGGCAGAGCTGCCGTCAACAAAGAAGGTGATATCCGGGTGGGTTAGGGGCTGGTCATATAAGGAGTTAGGAGATGTAGGTAAAGTGTCTAGAATTTCTGTGCAAGAGTGGGAGTGTGGTGGGTCATGAGTTGGTAGCAATGTGGCTGGGTTGAGGAGTGGAGACTGGGCTAAATGAACATTGGGATTCTCTATAAAAGTAAGGTGGAAAAGTTGGAGATGAGATGGGGATAGGAGGGAAAGGGAACGGTGAGATAATAGGTCTTTTATTCTGTGTGAGGAAAACACATGAAGAGGGCAGTGGAGGGTTAGTTTGAATGCTTCCTGTGTAAGAACTGCCACTGTCACTAGTGCTCTCAAGCAGGGTTGCCATCCTTGTACTGTGGGATTTAGACGTTTGGATAGGTAGGCCACTGGAGAGAGGAAGGGATCATGAGGTTGGGTAAGAACTCCTAGAGCCATCCCTTGACGTTCATCGGTGAATAAAGAGAAAGGTTTGGTAGGATTGGGGAGATGAAAAGGTGGAGATTGTAAAAGGTGATTTTTCAGGGTGGTGAAGGCAGCCTTAATGAGTTGTGCTGATTGGAGGGGACCAATGGGTGTGTCCTTGGCTGCATCATAGAGGGGCTTAGCCAGAAGGGAAAAGTTAGGGATCCAATGTCTAAAGAACACAACTAGTCCAAGGAATGATAGGATTTGGTCGGCAGAGGTAGGGGGTACTTGCTTTCTATCCAGGGTGAGTTCCCGGGCGGTGGGTGTTAGTTTAAGGCCAAGGTAAATGACAGAGGGAGTAGATAACTGGACTTTAGAGGGTGAAACCCGGTACCCCTTTTTTGCTAGGAAGTTTAAAAGAGTGGCAGTGTGTGTAGTCAACTGTTCTAAGGAGGGGCTACATAGGAGAAGGTCATCGACATATTGTAAGATAACGGATGGGGAGAGGTTGAAGTCTAGTACGTCTCTGGCCAGTGCCTGTCCGAAGTGAGTTGGACTATCCCTGAATCCTTGTGGGAGCACTGTCCATGTGAGTTGGGAGGAGGTGTGAGTGTCACGATCTTCCCAAGTGAAGGCAAAAAGGTTGTAACACCTGGGGTCTAAGGGGATTGTGAAAAAAGCATCCTTGAGATCTAAAACAGAAAAATGAGTGGTAGTAGGGGGAATCTTGGAGAGTAAGGTATAGGGGTTAGGGACAACGGGATGCAGGGGAACTATGGCACTGTTAATAAGATGAAGGTCTTGGACTAGTCAGTAGGACCCATTAGGTTTCTTTACTGATAAAATAGGGGTATTGCATGGGGATTGGGTGGGGATTAAGAGTCCTTTAGATAAGAAGTGCTGTATAAGAGATTTCAGGCCAAGTCGGTGTGTGCGAGAGATGGGAAATTGGGGTTTGGATGGAAACTGTGTGGGATCCTTTAAATTTACCATAACAGGGGGGTGATGAGAGGCGATGGATGGGGAAGAAGTATCCCACATGCATGGATCAACAAGGTCAGGGGGCATGGGGAAAGCTGGTGCTTGCAGGGAGGTAGCAGTTAGTGATAGCAGGAGAGAGGCAGAGTGATCTTGAGCCCAAGTGAGAATGGTTTTAATTTTTGCGAGGAAATCTCACCCTAAAAGGGGGGTAGGGCAGGTTGGTATAATAAGAAATGAGTGTGAAAGAATTTTGTTATCTACTAAACAGGTGATGGGGTCTGTTGTGGGGGGGTTTGAGGGTTGCCCGTTAATTCCCATAACAGAGACTGAGGAAGGGAAACATGGTCCCGAGAAGGAGGAGAGTACAGAATAGGTAGCCCCCGTATCAATCAAAAAGGAGATTGACTTACCTGCTACCTTGATAGTGACCCTGGGCTCAGCGAGAGTGATCGGGGTTGTTGAGTCCAGGCTCCTTCAGTCGTCAGTGACCAGGCCCAAGACTGTCGACAGAGGATTAGTGGATGGGGAGGATGGCCTTCCATGCTCTGACACAGAGGGACAGTCACTATTCCAATGTCCTTTTAAACCACACGCTGGACATAGGCCAGGGGCCAGTCAGGGCTGAGGGCAGGATCTGGCCCAGTGCCTTTCCTTACCACACTTGAAGAAGGATCAGGGAGCCGCCAAGGAAGGAGGTCTTCTGTCACTATGTGCTGGCCTCAGGGCCACTAGAAAGGCATTGGCCTGCAAGGTGGCCTTCTGGAGGGTCCTGGCTTCCCTATCTGCCTCCGCTTTCTCCTCCCAGGTATTAAAGACTTTAAAGGCCATGTTTACTAAGTCTCTGATGGGAGTTTGGGGTTCCTCTTCAGCTTTCTTTAATTTCTTTCTAATGTCAGAAGCTGACTGGGTTATGAAATGAGTGGCTAGGATCGTGGCCCCAGCCAGAGAGGAGGGGTCTAGGCAGGTAAATTGACTAAGGGCTTCAGTTAATCAGTTCAGGAAGGTGGCTGGGTTCTCATCCGGAAGTTGGGTAATCTCTCGGAGTTTGTTAAAGTTAACTGCTTTATGAAAGACAGCTTGTATGCCTGACAGGAGGCATTGGAACATTTTATCTCTGCGGGCTCTCCAAGTCCATCCAGACTGGGTGTCAGGCTGGTACTCCCAGCCTGGGTTTTGCACTGGAATAGCGTCTGCTCTGACGGGCATGGAGTTATCTGTTAGGTGGGTTTGGTCAGCATGTTCTCGGGCGGCACTAAGGACTCTATCTTTTTCGTCTGGGAGGAGGGTAGAGGAGAGGATGACATATATGTCATGCCAAGTTAAATCATAGGTCTGAGAGAGGTATCGGAACTCTTTGATGTAAGTAGTAGGGTCATTAGAAAAAGAGCCTAAGCATTTTTCAATTTGGGACAAATCAGCCAGGGAGAAGGGGGTGTGAATGTGTACAATTCCTTCAGACCCAGCAACTTCGTGCAGGGGGCAAAGAAGTTGTTGGGAGCGGGTGTGATGGCTCACAGGAGAGGGAAGGGTGGGAAAGATGGAGGAGGAGGCGTCTGGGGAGGTGGGTGAGATGGGAGGACAGGGGGCTGTCGGGGTAAGGGGAAGGGATAGTGGTGCTATCTGGGGGAGAGGGGGTTGTGCTTCAGCATAAGGAGGGGTCTGGGGGGTAGGGACAGGCTTTCCAGTGGGTCCAAAAGGGAGGAAGAGGAGACGGTTGGGTTGGTTTCTAAGGGGGAGAGAGGCATGGGTTTACGAGGTTTGGGGTTTTCGCAGGCAAGGAGAATCTGGGTGGTATTACATTTCTTACACAATCAGGGTCGGGAGCACAAACAAAAGAAGGCTTGGACATAGGGGACTTCCAGCCATTTGCCTGTGCATCAGCAAAAATTGTCTAAGTCTGTAAGGATATTAGTCAAAAGTCCTGTGCTCTGGCCAACAGGAGCCATTGTCCAGTGTGTATTGGGGCCATGCCGTGGTGGAGTAAAAGATGAGGTGTTTGGGACAGATGTCCTGGTCTAGTAACAAGGTCTTGAGGTTTGCTAATAAACACCCCAGAGGGGTTGTTGGATCGATTTTGGAGTTACGATTACCCATTGGTTCTGAGTTTTTCAGATAGGGCCACCAGAGCCCTATGGCAACAGGATAGGGCCACCAGAACCCTATGCCAGCCAGACTATTTTGCACGTGACACTAGACAGTCAAACGAGGGGTACACCCTTAGGGGAGGTAGGATGTCAGGCATCCCCGACCAACCAGACTCCCGGACCATGAGGAATTTCTGATGTGGTACCACGATTTTTCTGGGGTTCCTGGAACCCAGTGCCAATGATGTACAAAACTCTGGGACAAAACTCAGACCTTTGGGCAAGTCAACTCTCCAAAAATAATCACACAGGAGATATTACAAAAGGAAAGCAGTCACATTGGAGACAAGTCCCAAGAACTAGTCAAATGCCTAGTTGTCTGCTCCCCTCTCAGGGATTTGAGTGAGTCTTTGGCTAAGGTGTCTCCGTATAAACCCCGGAGTGGAGAGAAGAGCCACACCATTATGCTGATCTGACTTCACACAGAAATCAACTGAGGGCCCACCCAGACTCCGGCAAGTCAATTCCCCAAAAGTAATCACACTGGAGACATGTCCCAAGGACCAGTCATATGCCCAGTTGTCCACTCCCCTCTCGGGGATTTAAGTGAGTCTTTGGCTAAGGAGTCTCCATATAAACCCTGGAGCGGAGGGCAGAGCCACATCATTATGCCAATCTGACTTCACATGGAAATCAACTGAGGGCCCACTCAGGCTCTGCAACCTAGATCTTGGAGCATCACAGAAACATTCACACAACCTCTCAGTCAGACGCAGACAAATTACAACAAAACCAGTTCAAACCGTCTGGTAGTAGGCACTGGTTCGTCGTCCAGAGCCAAAAAATTAAAATGGCCCACAGGATGGAGGACAACAGAATACAAAATGTATGTCCTCCAGTGGGCATTGAGTAAAGGGTAAGATGTGACTTACCAGTGGTGGAAGCAGGGGGCTGGAATTCCCTGGTCCAGAGGGAAGAGGGAGAAGGTGAGTTAGAATTCCCTCAAGTTCTACTCCTCTTCCCGGGTTTCGGCACCAAATGTAATGCAGAGCTGCCAAGACACCAGGACACGGAGTTGTTTCAGAGAAGCAGTTTATTAGCACTCCTGGGCGAGGTTCTCGTGCCCTAGCATCAGGGCCAGAGAAGTCACACCCCCGGGCAGGGGGCATGGATTTTTATAGACACAGAGAGGACCTAACTGGGGACACCAAGGAAATGACAGGGTCCTCTAAGGAAATGGCAGGGTCCAATTAGCTGTTAGCATGGGTCTGCACTTAATTAGCATGAGGGGGCTTCACAGGAGGAAGTTTGTCATTGCATGGGACTTGCCAGCCTGGGTGGGTTCTGTCACTTCGGTTGTCTTATCAGGCTGTCTCATCAGGGCCTGACACCTGGAGGAAGCTGCCAACTGACGTATTGGGGCTTGGGTTTGCTTTGGCCTAGCACATTCCTTTCCACTGCAGATGTTGCCAAAGCTTCAGTCCTAATTACAGCCAAATTCATCTGATTTATCTTTTACACCCTAACTCTTTGTCTAATTCCATTTGATTTTACATACTTGCTTCAGATATTGGTTCTGAAATGCTGTCCCCTAATAATAAGAGCAAGGGGCTCTGGTGGTGCAGTGGGAAAGGTCTTTGGCTGCTTACAAGATAAAACCAGTATGTTGGTGGTTCAAACCCACCAGCTGCTTCTCAGGAGGAAAATGAGGCAATCTACCTCCATAAAGATTTACAGCATCAGAAACCCAATGGGGGTGGCTATGAGTTGGAATGGACGCAATGGCAGTGGGTTTTTCTTTCTTTCTTTCTTTTAATAATAGGAGCAAACACTTCTAATATACTATTTCTTTCTTTTTTAAAACAAATAATTGTGGTATGGATGAAAACTTACAGAATAGATTAGCTTTCCATTCAATAATTTATATACATTATGTTTTGTAGCATTAGTTTTCACACCCTCAATGTAACAGCACTCTTCCCACTTCTTTCCTGGGTTCCCTGTTTCCATTCGTCCTTCTTTCCTGCCCCTTCCTGCTTTCTGAGATTTATTTTTCGTCAAATGCTGCCCATTTGGTCTCATGTTATTGATTATTCTGAGGATTACACTCCTCACAAGTGTTATGTTCACTTTATGGGCCTGTCTGTTGTTTGGCTTCAAGGAAAGTTCAATTTCAGGTTTGAAGAGTTTCTAGAGGCCACAGTCTCTGGGGTTCCACCAGTCTCTATCAGACCAGTAAGTCTGTGATTTTTTATGGCTTTGAATTTTGTTCTACATTTTTCTCCCATTCTATCCAGAATCTTCTGTGGTCTTAATAAGAGCAGCTAGCAGGTAGCCAAACACAATTCAGTTCTTTTTGGTCTCTGGCTTGTGGAGGTTGTAACCCATTAGTCCTTTTGACCAATTGTGTCTTTGAGTCTGGTTTTTCTTCACTCTTCTTCCCTCAAGATGACAATATGAGTTGCATACTATTTAAAACTCTTTCTATAAACTGACTTTTTAAATTCCTGCTGTAATAGTATCTCAGAAGGAAGGTTGGACAATCTTCTTCTGTAGTGATACTGCCTCAGAAACCCAAGGAGGGGTCACTATGAGTAGGGTCCAACTTGATGGAACATAACAACAACAACAACAACAACAATGTAATATTATAAGGTATATCATATCAATTGTCATTGAGTCAACTCCAACTCATGACAACCTCATATGTATCAGAGTAAAACTGTGCTCCATAGAGTTTTCAGTGGCATAGTGCCTAAGACATTTGACTGCTAACTAGAAGGCTGGTGGTCCAAAGCCACTAGCCACTCCTGGGAAGAAAGATTGGGCAATCTACCCATAGAGATACCGCCTCAGAAACCTAAGGATAGTCGTTATGAGTTCAATAGCCTCAATGGCAGTGAGTTTGGGTTTTTTTTGGAATTCTTCAGAAATAGATTGCCAGGTCTTCCAGGGTGCCAATGTGTGATCACAAACCTCCGACTTTTTGATTAGAACCTAAATGTACTAACTCTTTGTATGACTCAGGAACATCAATACTATAAGGTAAACTACTTTTATTATCCAACTTATACAGATGAAGAAATTAGGGCAGAAATATCATATGCAACTTGTTGAAGGTTGCAAATTTGTTAGTGGTAGAGGTACGAGTTGAATCCAGTCATTCTGACTGCAGAGTTGGAGCTATACATCACCCTTAAAAGCTGCTGAATCTCAGCCACATGCATTTTGCAAATATATGTGAAAAATATACCACCACATGGAAAACCATGTCCCATAAATATGAAACATTAACATCATCCCCAATTTTCATGGGAAGAAGATGTAATATTCTGTTTCCATAATAATATAAAAATATAAAATATTCTAAAATTAAATAGTGATGATGGTTGCACAACTCTTGTGAATATTCTAAAAATCATCAAATCGTATACATTAAAAGGGTGAATTTCATGGAAGGTGAATTATATCTCAAACTATTATTTCAAAAAATGTTCTATTGTTCTACTTTTTAAATTTAATCTAGAAATCTTCTTCTTACTTTTTTTCATATTGAGTGATGAAGAGGTCAATATTTTTGTTTTCAGTTTCACCTGTGGCATAAATAATATGCTCATATTTGTGTGTGTCTGTTTCTAGACTCTGTGATCTGTCCCATTGATTTTCTAACCTTTATGATTTATTACTTATCATATCCTTCTAAGAACTCTTGAAATTTAAAATTCCATGCAGTGGTATATTTGTTATAAATTCTCTTTCTTTATCATCTGCAAGATTTTTTTGGCTATTATTCATGTTTGCAATGATAGGGCAAATTGATATATATCACCTGATAGAAAACAATGGCAAGATTACCTCATCATATCTGTACCATTTCTACAAAAGGCACGCAATCTGAAAAATAAAACTAACCCAATTGGAGGGACATACTCCATAATGAGTAACCTGTCATCTTGTAAAGTGTCAAAATCATGAAAGGAAAAAACAGGTCAAGAAAAGAAAACACACATGACAAGTAAATGTAACAAATAATTCTGAATTTAATTCTCTGTTGAAGGGACATGTTTGAGATAATTGAAAAAACTTTAATGACATCACTTGGGGGTGTGAATGGTTTAGCACTCAACTACTAGCCAAAAGTTGGCCATTTGAAATTCCCCAGGGGCACCTCAGAAGACAGGTTTGATAATGTGTTTAAAAAAGGTCACATCCTTGAAAACCTTTGGAGCATTTTTAATCTGTACACAAAGGGTTACCATGAGTCAAAATCAACTCTACAGAAACGAACAATAATTATTACCGATACAATACTGCTTCTGTATTATAGCTTCTGTATTATAATAATATTATATGTTATTAGGAAGGATCAGTCCCTGGGGCAGGACATCATTCTTGGTAAAGTAGAGAGTCAGCAAAAAAGATGAAAACCCTCAATGATACAGATTGACATAGTGACTGCAAAAAATGGGATCAAGAGTAATAAAGCTTGAGAAGATATCACAAGACCTGGCAGTGTTTTCTCTGTTGTATATAGGGTCACTGTGAGTCAGAACTGATTTGATGGCACCTATTTGGTTACCTAGTGTCACTCCAACAGAAATACCACAAATGCATGGCTTTAAAAAAACAGAAGTCCATTTTC